ATCAGTTCCATCCTTCTTTTCACACTTCAAACTTTGTCAGGTATTTAATTATACATTGTATTTTTTATGCGAGGTAAGAGATAGTATTAATCTAGTAAGGGGGGTAATTAATGAAATAAGGGAGATAATTAACAAAATTTGATTATTTATTCATATTTTCTATGATTAATGATAACCCATGATAAGCCAAAGTGAAGGCAAAAAAAGTGAATATTGTAGAGATTGGCAGTTTATTTATGAGTAATTTGATACTGTGTGTTATTTTATTTATAAGAGCCAGGTGAGTGTTTGTTTCTCACCTAGTCTCTGATGACCAGTAGTCATGATACCTGGTTATTTTCATAAGATTTCTCTCATCTATTATGTATCATACTTATCTTTTATTTGTGTTTATCTTCATTGGTTTATGACATTTTGTTCGAATCTTAATTAAAAATCAAGACTTACTTTTATTTGAAATATAGATATTATATAGTGATTAAGAGGTGCAATTAATCAACTAACTTAATTTTCGATGTGGTTATTCAACTAAAGAGATGTAGTTTACGTAATGGCAAACAGTTAAAGAGGCATTCCGTTGTTTTTTGCAAAACATTTTCATTATCAGAAAAGTCGTAAATTATACCTGAAAATATTTCTAAAGTATGATATTAATATCTATGTATCTCCTTGATCAAACTGAATTTGTTTTAGATCTTTTTAGAACGGCTGGATTTTTTAGTTAAAATTTTCAGATACGTTATGGGATACCTTTCCATAGATTTTGGTTTATAGTTTTCACAAATTTGAGCAAAAGAATTTTTCGACCTACAAAAAGCGGAATGTCCATTTAACTGTACATACACTGTAAAGTTATTCAAACTGCTTGCTCTATACCTTCAATTGAAATCGTATTTGAAATGAAAACAGTTAAATATAAGTAAACAACATAGCTATCAGAGACCTTTCTCAAGATGTTCAGTGTGCCAGTAAACTACATTGTAAAATAACTTCCTGCAGTGAGCAAAAACATTAAAACTCGAAAAGTCCAAGTAATTTCGTAAAATTAAGTTTTACATGCATATTTTTGTTTTGTTTTGGAAACCAGATATTTAATCAATGATTTGATGTAAGTTCTCATTATTGTTAGAATTGTAGACCATATCTAATACAAACATTAAAGACTAATGACTATTAAGTAAATATGTTTACACCTTGACAATCTGTTTACAGTAAGAGTTTACACCTTAAGACATCGACCTTTTTCTTGAACACTATTTCTTACAGTGGTTTTTATTTCAAAATGATTTATTGAATTAAAGTCTTTATCTAGATTATGTACTTTAAAATAAAAACCTATTTTTGTATTACATGGGATTAAACGTAAATAAATTAAGTATTTCTTTGGTGACTTTTTTGCTGAATTATGTAAAATGGTATTAAACACAAAAGAAAAGATTTTGAATTAGTTTCTTTCGAATTTCTTGATTTATTTTAATTTCTTAAGAAATAAAATGTGATCAAAATATTTATAGATAAGTGTTTATCTTGAATTGAGTAATAATCATAAAAATTCTGATTCGTTTCATTTTGAGAAAAATCAAACAGTAACACCTGAAAATTATTCTACCTGACAATAATTAGAAACAACGTGAAAGAGACTTCCGTGCTGTAGAATCATTTATCAAACGTAGAAGAATTGAATTACAGAGAATTTTCTCTTGTAGTAAATCATGTAAATAATAGAAATTAAAGACAATAATTTGTCAATGTTAGAAGGCACTATTATAATCTCATTATTATAATATTAGCACCATATGTTTAAATTAACATTGAATAGTCATAAAAAACACTTTACAATATGCGAATACCGTTAGGATAGACCAATTTCTTTTGATGTTTGCCGCCATCTCCTGTCGTTCACCGTTAGTCAATATATTCATATTATTTTCTGGCATATGTCAATGTATTTACACAAACAATAGTTCCACTTCATAATGTATTCAACCATAATTCTTGCCCCATCAATTTTCTTAATTTAATTAATTGCTGATTAGTTTTTGTCTGTTGTCGGTAAAAAAAATAACGCTTTGTAAATTAGAATCTATTTTAATTATTAATTTTTAAAAACTGAATTATTGCGATAAAAATATAATTGCGATGTTCAAAAAGACGAGAAAAAACGAATTTGGTTGGAATGAAAATGAAAATGCTGTTTTACGAAAAGAAACTCACGGTATTTTTTATTACTAACCCAGATTCCCTTATCGCCTTGAAAATTCCGCATTTTGCCACATTTAAATCTATTTTATTTGATTGTGACAAGAGAAAGGACCATTTGAAGAATATTGGATTTCATCTTGTTTTAATTCTGTGAAGTAATTACCAGTATTCGTCAAACTTTATTGTTTTTATTGTCTGAATTTGAAGAAATCGACGCCTCATTGACTTACAACCATATAAATCAATTGTTAGTCATTATTACCATTTACTGACAATATGTCACGTCTAAACTTTATATCGACCAATCAATACCGAGCATTTACTTCATTTAATATTCATACTCCTCCCACAATGTAAATAACATATAGCGATTGGTTGAATATCTTGTTGACACCTTTGTGAATATTTGATACACAAATAAGAATAAGGAGATCAATTCCACATCCACTTCTCGTCTATTAAAAACATATGACATCGCTAACAAGAGTAGTTGGCACAATAGAACACCGACGTACCTGTCAAAATTCAACAATCTGACCGAATTGACCAGGTAATCCGCTTGTCGTTTTCAAATCAAATTGTAAATGATAAAGGTGATACACAGCAGGCGAGGGGTTTACCTGTAAACTGTGAACCACACACGAGCCTTGAAGCGAGAAGCAGTAAGAGGACTTCATCATTTCAACGGTGCAGTAAACACAAAAGGGTATCGGAGTGCATTTAACTATAATACTAGTTTGACTTCTGCGGGAAAATTGTTGAAGCGGTAAAAATCTGGACCCCCTACCGACAAAATTTAAAGGACTGATTAAGTTTTATGTGCAAAATTATTAAGTGGAAGTTTTGATAGAAAATTGCTTGTAATGTACTGAACTCAATCAGAGATTTATGAAATTTTTATAAAAGAGTCTGGATACCGACACGCACCTGATATCAATATGGATACAGTTGAACGAAAACGTCCCAGATCACCTTCAACTCATTCACCTAAATCTACTGCCGCTTCAGATAGTGAGGACGAGCGGCATGAGAAAGCTACAGATAGAGAGGCAGAATGTAAAGAAAGATTACAACCATCTGAAAGTGAAATGTCACCAGATTCTGTGAAATCAAGAGACACAAGTCCAGCCATTGAAATAGTGAAACCAATTGTTCGTCCAGGACCTAAACCATCGTTTTTAATCACAGACATTCTAAGTTCTCCACATACAAATAGACGTAAATTACCTACATTTGGTGATTATGAAAGACATGATATATTTCCTAAAGCCCCGAGATCTCTGCAAATTTCAGAACGATCGGCTTTTGTTAGAGACAGATTTAGCATTAATTCACCCGAAAAAGACGACAGTGACGTAGGTAAGTCGAAAACAATTTTATCATTTTTTTTTATAATTTAAACAAATCTTTAGGTACTTTCATTTTTATGGAAATTTTATGAAATTATATTGTTTTGTTGTTGTTATATTTCTTTTTATAAGAACTGACTTTGAAATATTTTCATCAATTTTTTCTTAATATTTAATTATTCAATTAATATATGATATAATAATAATGATTTTTAAGGCATTTTTTAAAATATGCTAAATACATGAAATATATCTGTGAAATATAAAAATAGGGTCTTTTTCATACAAGTATAAAATTTAGCAATTTAATCTAGATGTTTATTAATCAAATATTTTGACAAGCTCTTGTTAGGTATTATCAAACGCCAATATATGTTTGTAAATATAAATAAAATTTTGTTAAATGAATCAAATATTTATGTGACGGTTTTCTTGTTTTAGTGCAAGGTAATTGATAACAATTTTTTACAAAATATTATAATTAAAAAAAACTATATACATTGAAATGAACTTTGAACCAACTATGAAAGATATAGTCACATTTTTAATGGAAGTCGTGGTTCGATACAATAGCCTATACTTAGTATGACAGTTGAACATATTTGAGTTGAACTCATATTAAAATAAACAAGAGATTCGATTCCCAGCGAGGCGCTTGATGACTCCCTGCAATGATATTTTTGGAGAGTCCAAAAAGGGGCTTTTGTTTAATTAGGAAAATGAGCGCCTTAAAAATAATGCGGGATTTACTTTAATTTTAATTCAAAAGAAAAAATCTAGTTAATCATGACCTAATGGTAAGATACAGTAAATATTAAACAATATTTATTTCAAATAATTAATTGAGGAAGAAAATCAGAACTGTCGTTGTCATTCATATAACTATTTGTAAATAACACGCTTGTCCTAACTAGTCTCTCATAAAACAATCAATTCCAATAATCATAATGATACAATCAACGAACGGAATTACAAAGTCACAAAAATCATTTAATTGGCTTGAAAAGAGCATCTAATGAATAGTAATTAAGGAAAGTGAACAAGAAAAAAATATCATTATCTGTGGAAGTCATCACTACCATTTGTTACACTTAGCTGTTTTTATCTGTAGCCTCGGGCTATAACACATGTTCATTTTCTATATCGTTAGCATCGTATTCTTATTTTGAAAAATTCTGATGCTTAAAGTCAATCCCAATTTTCAATTAAATTTGTCCTTGATTTAGGATGAGACGCGATTTCCATAACACGTAACAAAACAATGTGTTATTAAAAAATCAATCAACAAAGCAAGAAAATCACATAATTTGAGAAAGCTGCTTGAAAAAGGTCATGAAACCACCTTGTTCTTGAAGTAAATGAAAGGCAAAGCATTGGGGTGATGTTTGGTAGAACAATGACAAATAATTATCCTGCATTTCATTATATTTTTTAGATATTAGTGATGACGATGATGATGATCGAAGTGGAAATTCAGATGCACCAATTCTTCTGAAAGGTAAAAAACCTCGTAAAGCCAGAACAGCCTTCACCGATCATCAACTTAGCTCCTTAGAAAAGACTTTTGAACGTCAGAAGTATTTAAGTGTACAAGATAGAATGGAATTGGCGGCAAAATTAAATTTAACAGATACACAAGTAAAAACATGGTATCAGAACAGAAGGTAGGAAAATTTCTACATTTATTTCAAGGATTGATAAATTCATCTTATCATTGCAAATATTTTGATACCTGTGAATAATTTTGCAGTAAAAGATGACAGATGTTTTCGACTTAAAGATAGCTTACTTATTAAAGAATTGACAATGGCGTTCGATTGCTTTTGCATACGATTCTACCTTTGAAACAATCGCTTTGCATTTCCGAATTATTTGTTTATCTTGTGAATCTCCCCAGAAGTAGGTAATTTTCTATCAAATTGATGTATTCCAATGTTGTAATTCACAGTCCCTACTTGTGACCTAGGCCAGTGTTTCTATAAGAGAGTTTCCTTATACCACCTTAAATAAAAGCAATATTTGTTTCTTTTTCAGAACGAAATGGAAGAGGCAAACAGCAGTCGGTTTAGAATTGTTGGCCGAGGCAGGAAACTATGCTGCCGTTCAGCGAATGCTTCAACAAAATCCTTACTGGTTTAACTATCACCCACAAGCCGCCAGTATATTATCAAATGTGGACGCTTTTTACCTCCGAAATGGAGAGAACTCGTTTGCGCAGGTTCAACGCCCATTACTTCCCCGGATGTTTATTCATGGGCTTCAACAACACGTGAATTCACTTCCAACTTCGAGTAGTTCCTCTATATTTAGTGAATCGCGTAATTAAAATTTCTATTGATCATCATAGTGCACATTTTATATTTAAATTAATTTATTTTAAACTATCAGTGCTTGTATCAAAGACTGTGAATTTTGAGTCTCACTATTTTTACTTTATAGACACTTGGTATTGTGAGATAATGTTCAATTTATGTTCTATGCTAGAAAAAAGTATAGAGTTTAAGATTGATTTTTGTGCTATTCGACAGACTTTCCTCGAATTTGTTTTATTGATTTACATGTGCTATTGAAGATGAAGAATGTTTGATGTTGATATTATTGTGATTATTTATACTATAGACAATATTTTGTGCATACTGCACATGAACTATAAAGGTGTTTGTAACCGATCTGCCGTTGTTAATCTAAAAAAAAACCTTCATGTGAAACAAGGACAATTGTCATTAAGACTCTCGGAATCAAACTATTGTATTGTGTTATGTATATTTGAAAATTTCCATTCAGTTTTTATTTGAATCTTTGAATAAAATTCATAATAAATCCACTGATTTTGATTGTCATCCATCAACAAATAGAATGGGGTTAGGTTCATGGCACTGCATCTTTGAGGTCATAAAGGAGTTAGCCATATCGAATAAATTGGTCTAACTTTTCCGTGGATAAACAGTTCAAATAAAACATTTTCAAACTAACTTGGATTTGATGTCATAATTCTAGTAAAGTCCAGTAAAATTAACATCCTTCTGTTGTTATACTTTACCTTACTTTATCAACCTACAATACGAATGGAAATGCACTCGTGAACAATATACATGGACATAAAATTAAAACCTTTTTGTCATATGTTTTAAAGATAAATAACTTAAGCACTCTAAAATGTTTCCCTAAATTTATGAAACTCTAATTGTCTCCCTCATATTACTTATATTTACAATCTATAAAATTTCTTAAATCTAAGATTACAATACGGGGCAATATTAGCAACCATTAAATATACATTAAATCATATTAATTTATCAATGAGTTCAGTAAACATCTATCATTGACTGAATTAAAAATATTACTTACATGCAGGGTAATTATTATACACCCGCACGTCTGTATAAAATAGTTTCTGTTCTGTTCTGACAACAAGTAAGAAAGACAATGGTTGACTTAACTGATCAAAAATATTGTTAAAGCCCTTAACTTGAATAGCTAAAAACTCATTTTGACACAATTGGTCCTCTCCAACCATAATTTGAAAAACTCAGCTGTTACTTGCAATTGATTACTACAAGAGCGTAACAGAAAAGACACAGAGAAGACAATTCAGAATGATGTTCAATCATGAAGCACTGTAATACAGCTGTATTTCCTTTCAATTCGAAAAAGTTACAAATTTAATATTTGAACCGACATAAAAACTAACATTTTTGCACCAAACATTCAAGAATCTAGAGAAAGAAGAGTCAATAGGATTAGCATTTAATAAATAGTCATGGAAATGATGTTATGAAACATTAACTATGACTTTCAATAAATTTGACAATGACACCGCCATTCAATAAACCATAAATTATGAAATAGGTTGAAAAAAGCAATGATAATATGAATATACCATATAACACTATGAATTTGAAAACTCACAAAAAGAAATTATATTTCCAGATAATAGCTACATTTAAATCATGGTCACAGATGCCGATAAAGAAACCTTGTCGGCGCCATATGACGCAATAATTTATGTTGTCCATTTAAATAGATTTGAAAAGAATTTCTCTATTTCTAATCAGTTTCATGGTGAAATTAAATAAATATTACTAAACTGTTGTTAGTAATAAATTTTAGATTATTATCTAGTTAACTCTTTATAACTAAAAATACAATACCCCAAATGCAAACTCAATTTTAAAGAAATTTTTATCTCTTACGTATTCCCACTAAAAATTGATCATTTAGTTACCAATACGCCCATATAACATCTACCTCCAATTAATATCTACCTTCAACTAATATCTACCTTCAATTAATATCCACCTTCAATTAATATCTACCTTCAACTAACATCTATCTAATATCTACCTTCAATTAATATCTACCTTCAATTAATATCTACCTTCAATTAATACCTACCTTCAATTAATATCTACCTTCAATTAACATCTACCTCCAATTAATATCTACCTCAATTAACATCTACCTTCAATTAATATCTACCTTCAATTAACATCTACCTTCAATTAATATCTACCTTCAACTAATATCTACCTTCAATTAATATCTACCATCAATTAATATCCACCTTCAATTAATACCTACCTTCAATTAATATCTACCTTCAATTAACATCTACCTAATATCTACCTTCAATTAATATCTACCTTCAATTAATATCTACCTTCAATTAATATCTACTTTCAATTAACATCTACCTCCAATTAATATCTACCTTCAACTAATATCTACCTTCAATTAATATCTACCTTCAATTAATATCCACCTTCAATTAATACCTACCTTCAATTAATATCTACCTTCAATTAACATCTACCTAATATCTACCTTCAATTAATATCTACCTTCAATTAATATGTACCTAATATCTACCTTCAATTAATATCTACCTTCAATCAATATCTACCTTCATTTAATATCTACCTTCATTTAATATCTACCTTCAATTAATATCTACCTTCAATTAATATCTACCTTCATTTAACATCTACCTTCAATTAATATCTACATTCAATTAATATCTACATTCAATTAAAATCTACCTTCAATTAATATCTACCTCCAATTAATATCTACCTTCAATTAAAATCTACCTTCAATTAACATCTACCTTCAATTAATATCTACCTCAATTAACATCTACCTTCAATTAATATCTACCTTCAATTAATATCTGCTTTCAATTAACATCTACCTTCAATTAATATCTACCTTCATTTAATATCTACCTTCAATTAATATCTACCTTCAATTAACATCTACCTTCAATTAATATCTACCTTCAATTAATATCTATCTCCATTTATAATTTACTTTAATTGTATTCCAACCTACATTTAATACCTACCTCCATTTAACATCTACCTTCAATTTAATATCTACCTTCATTTAATATCTACTTCATTTAATATCTACCTTCAATTAATATCTACCTTCAGAGAGGCTGACATGGAAAAAGTGTCCAGTCGTTCGGATGGGACAATAATCCGAGGACCCGTTTGTTACAGGCTGTGCACGTTTAAGATCCCTCGCCAGTTGGAAATCGGAAAATAGCAGGCTAACGCCGCTGTCCTGGAAAAATTTCCCTCATTGTACTCTGCATGGTGTTGCCCGTATTCATTAGCCCACATGGTGCAGAAAAGTAGGTCGTAAAACTCCATTCATTTCAATTTTCAGTTAAATGGTGCAAATTGATGCTATCAGTGCCCACGATACACATAACAAATTTAGAAAACCTCTTTAAAATCATGTACCTCTTAGCTCCATTCTTTTGGTCGTCTAAACAAATCGATTTAAATTTCCGAAAATTTATATATGAACTTTAATTAGACATTTTTTTCTCAACGCAATGTTGCATCTAACATGCGAGCTACCAGCTGAGAGTTCAAAAATCAATATTAAATCTTGTATACTCCTCAACAAAAATTTAGGTAACAAATAATGTAATATTTTGAACATGACTATTTTGTGATTGAGGAAATTTCGCAAATTTTCCTAATTTCCTTTATCAGCTATTTTACATAAAATCACCATTTAAAAAATTGAAATGAAACTCGTTTGTATAAATATTCAATATAATAAAAAACAAATGACAACGTTTCAATAATAAACTTTCACAAAATAACATCAAACAAACGATATCTTAAATAAATAAAACGTGCTTGTTGCTTAATTTTAGCCTTCCAAATGTTGTTACAAGTACTTTAATACACAGTTCTAGGCAAAATTTGTAAATTTCACAAGGAGGAATTGATTATTGCTAGCTCTCTCTGTGTCTATTGAATTATCTGAAACAATAATGTGTTTAAGGACGCGTTTTCACCTCAATAAGTCAACTATGTGAAATAAAGGAGATTAATTTATCAGAAAAACAATATGCGAATTAAATCTTGTGTCAGAAAGACTAAATAATATAAAAAGAAAAGAAATATGTTATCAAATATTGTGTCAAATATTAAACACAAAAGACTCATTGTTCTGCTCGACTGGTGTCTAGATCATCAGGTACTTTGCATTTTGGTTTATTTTCCGATACATTGATTATGAATATGCGACGTATCACCTTTTGGCGATACATTTCTCACTTATAATACAATATTTAAACGTATTAAATTGATAGAGGTATAGCTAGGTGTATGTACACAAATATCTCAGACGATATAAATCCTTAT